TGTTTAGTTCCTTTGTAGGAGTGTGATGCTCAAATTTTCTTTGCTCCATTTTATTGAAAATTCAAGTTATACCAAAATATCAAAAATTCAGCTATTTAATCATAATCATTCAAGCTCTATAATATGGTTGTTTTCCCATATTGCCTCTTGCCAAATTGAAGGGAATTTTGTTGCCTTTTAGCAATTCTAATGCCTTTATTAATGATTTATAGAAACTTCTAAATTCTTTCAAAAACTATAACTCGTCAATTGCACTTGAACAAAATTCATTTTTCTCAAATTTGAAGTCACAAAGCAAGGGGCTCATTTTTCAAAAATTTTCATAAAATATTTATTTTCAAATTATACGCTAGAGTAACCAAGGTCATTTTCACATTTTATTTATAAATTATACGCTAAAATAACCAAGTTCTTTTTTTTTCATGAATTTATTCATAGTTACATGTTGTCACCTCCAACTTCCTCCAATAACAACAAATTCCTATGTTTTCTCAGTATTGAGTGTCCAATAGCAAGTGCCTTTGGCATATTCCTTCTTAGCAAATACTTTCAGTTTGCTGACTCTCAAACAAATAGTTCTTGTTGATGTGATTAACTTTAGTATATAATAGTAAGGGGTGAGATTCAGTAAGAAAAATTTAGAACCAACAAAACTTGGAGAACTTCAATTTAGGTAGAGTTGATTAATTGAAATCGTTAATGCCTCCTATGTTTTATTTTAATCTTTTTACCAGACTCCCTTGTGAGAGCTTGATGCCCAAATTTTCTTTGCTCCCTTTTTTTGAAACTTAAAGTCGTAATCGTTCAAGCATTTCAGCTACTTCGTCATAATCATTCAAGCTCCATAATACAAGATGAGGACTTTTGCTAAAATATATAGTGGAGAGACTAAAATTAAGGAGGATCAATATTACAGAACATGGTCATTGTGATAAAGTTGCTCAAAAAATATCAATACTTTGGAAGCACAAGAGGTTTTTGCTGCTCTTGGATGATGTTAAGAAAAAGTTTAACTTACTTGATATTGGGATTCCCACAATAGAAAATGATAACAAAACGGTTTTAATTAGTAAGGTAGGTTTGGTTTGTGCCTCCATGGATGGCAGACGTGTGATCAACATGAAAAGCTTGTTAGATCATGAAACATGGGAGACGTTGCAAAATGTCTTAGGAAATCCTAAACTCATTCAAAACCCCAAAATTGGGCCACTTTCACAGCAAGTGTGCATGGAGTGTGAGAGAGTTCTGCTCTTGATAAAGAAAGCATAAAGTAGCAAGTGTCTTTGGACTAGTAGATTGAATAATTGGAAGATGTGGCTCAGAAAAGAACAATAAAGTATAAAGGAAATATATTAATTATTGAAATTTTGCTACAATGATTTGCCTCGTGACACTTTAAGACGTCCTATGTTTATGGAGCTTTTATATGCTCAAGGCAGTGATTATGTGTCTACATACATACATACACACATACATACATATATATGTGTGTGTGTATTTGTGTGGCCATGTTAACATATGAAATGGTAGCCTGTATAGCTTGGCAATTAAAATAGATTTTGATAAACGTGTCATGCTAGGTTGACATGAAAAGGTGCCAATTGCCAAATACAACTATGGTACTAAATCCCTCTAGGAATGTAAAAATAAAGTGACAAGAAAAGTTACTTTGTCTCAGGTGGAATTGCAAGAAATATCTTTGGCAATATTGTTGAAATCCTCGTCAATAAGGGGGGAAAAAAAGTAGCAAACCATACGAAGGTGGCTGAAGCCTTGCCTGTAGCCATAGTCAAAAGGAGCTACATTAAACTTGCAACAAACATAGGATCATTTCAGATGCACAAGCAAAGGAGGTTCATCACACGGGGAGAAATAACCTATCTAACTGCTAAAGGATTAGCAAAATAGTCGAAGCTTGTTGCTTGTGGTAGCCTTACGCAACTTCCTTTCACATGGTTCAAGGACATGAATAAAATAGAGAAAAGGATCAAAATTTCTTTTAGACTCAATCTTACGCATTTCATTATGTTATCATTATTGTAAACTTGACAACCAAAATATTCAATCGTAAATTTGTTCAGTTTTTCTTACAGGTAATAAAAGAAATAACAACCAAAACGCTGCCACAGCATGTAAATTGATATAACCTCATTATAGTTCAAGTAATTCCTTAGTCAACGGCAGCTACTATAAGCTATGCATGGCCAATGTAATCTGGTTTCTTGGCTTGCCATTAGAAAGCAATCACATACCTTGCATTTATTGCTTCACTATTGTAAGTTGCATATGGCCACAACCACAAGTAATCTGGTTGATTTGCTTGCCATCAGAAAGCAAACCTAGTATCCAACCTGGAAGCCATCACAACAATCAAAGCAATCACTATGGGGCCTGCAAACAAACAGATGATCCACAGGAAAGCCCCAAGTCCTTTAACATCTGTGCATTGGTGCAGGATATATGTCCAATGGTTGATAACGCAATCTCTCATTATGAGGTAAAGGTCCATCCTGGAAATTTCGAGAAATAAAAAAAGGTTATGCACCTGAATGGACTCCAATTCAATGACGAAACAAAGCATAAATTCCTTGGTACACATTAAGGAAGAGAATAAAGCTCTTGATGTAAAAGCTAATTGCAATTAGAAAGCCACTAGTTAAGCAGATGTATAATAGATTCAAACCCTAAGTGCGAACAAATGTAATGGTGCTAACTGTACATTGTCAAACCAATCTGAAGTGGTAAAAAAGATACAATTTATCAGTGAATAAAAAATAAGAATACCTATTTTCAAGAAAAATATTATAATAATTCATAGCAAGGTCAATTTCAACAAGGTAAAACATATGTGCTGGCTGTAGGCAATAAAATAAAATGACTCCACAAGACAAACAATGTCATATGCAAGATGTCCCAAGCATCTTTGTGGCTGATGCAGTGTGTTTGCACAGGGTGAGCATAAAAATAAATGCACTGTTTCATTTTTCTCAAAACATTTCAATAACATGTGCAATTTTTACTTTCCCAGAATTACTTTCTAAGATATAAGCAATAAATCCAAGGTCATGTCACTAAGAAGAAATGTTAAGGCAAAAAGAGTTTACTACCATCAACTTAGATCCTCAAATTCATAGGAGGTCAAGGAAGAATCAATGCACGATACTCATCAACAAAATCACAGCCATACAAAATAAATCATATAAAACTAAATCCCCTCTATCTTGCTACAATAAAATTACTTCTTCACCATTGTTGATTCTTCTTGCAGAAATTTCTTATTCTACATTATTTTTACAAAGTCACTAGTTCTCATTCTACATTTATTTTTACAAATTTCTTATGCTTCACCATTTGAGCATGAAAGATGTCACTAGTTCCAACGCCCGTTAACAAAGTCACGTCCATACAGATAAATCATATAAAACTAAATCCACTCTATCTTGCTAAATTACAATCACTTCTTCACCATTGTTGCTTCTTCTTGCGGAAATTTCTTATTATCCAAAAAGTTCAAAATGTGCAGCTAGTGCTAGAAGAATCTATAGGGATAAGCTTTTTGTTTATTCATGATAATCTCTTCAACATGACCTGCAATCACAGTATGCTTATATGCCTTGAAGCTAATTTTTCTTTATAAGTTTCTAATAATTGCAAGGTAAAAAATTTATTATTCTCTTCCTTGCAAGTGAATGATGTACCTACCTCATCTTCATCTGAACAATTGTACCCTAATCCATGCTGCACGCAATGTTGATGTAAGTGTTAGGAAACTTATGCATCAAGCCTCTAGGAGCCTAAGCATCTAAAAACCATGTACATGCCATTTGGTGTGACGTATATGTTATGTCTGATGCTTTGGCACATGCCATGACAAGTACTGGACACAACATCTGGCAATTATTTTATTTTTAATTTCAAACAGTTTGTCCACAATAGGGACACACATATCCAAGCATATATACACACATCTCTGTATCAAATATTTTTAGACAATAAACAAGTGAAATAGTTAATATAAATTTATAGGCATTTTTGGTTTATGTTGATGTTTAACCATGAATGAATAAGTTTGATTATTTAGTATTCATATTATTTTTAGGAACATCTATAAATGTACTAGTCATACACATGGTTAATGTGAATATTTCAAAAAGAAAATCTTTTGTGTATGGGTATGGCAGATGTAACATGGGGGTTGAAGTAGAAAGTTTGTGGCAATGGATTTTGATGAATTTACATAGAGGTTTATACTGCTCTGCTTGTCAGCCTTGCCTTGTCAGAGTGGAAAAAGTAGATGGGGAGGCAGGGCTCAATGTGAGAAGTCAGAAGAAGAGAAAAAGGTGGAACTCAATGAACGTGGTCAGAAGAGAGAGATAGAAGTGAGAGACTTTCTGGAAAGAGTGGGGGGTGATGATGAAAGTGCTTGCTGGAGGGAGCTTGCCAGTGGTAGGGCATGGGATTGGGCAGTGTGTGTGTGTGAGTGTGTGTGTGTGTGTGTGTGTGTGAGAGAGAGAGAGAGAGAGAGAGATGATGGTCCTTTCTAGTCCTATTCTCATCCTTTTTCCTAGTTTTATTTCTGCCATGGTCCAAAAATACAATTTTCCCAAGAAAAAATAGTAAATGGACATATCATCCTTGTTTCAGATTTGAAGATCAAGTATCTCAATAAAAGGTGATAAATTTTGAAGCACAAGAACACAAAGTGGTTACATGCACGATTTACAAGGAATATTATTTCCTTGTTCAACTCCTAATCAAATCTCAGCTGACTTACCAAATTAATATAAGTGTCTTGAAGGAACTTTACCATCTGACATTCTTCAATTTCAGTAACAGAGATACAGTTCCTTGTATCATTAATGTTCTACAGCCTTATTTCTTTTGCTTGGTAGACTCTCTTTCTTTTGTCTTGTTTCTTTCTTTTTCCTTTTTTCCTCTCCCGTGTTAGTGGGTGCCTTCATTTAGAACTTTTTGGCTCTTAAGTAGGCACCAAAATTAAGCTAAAACCTCTGGATTGAAGTAGGAAGGGCCTGCTTCCCTATCATGCCAGCCTATGATTAAGGGAAATATTACTGAGAATTTAACCATTGCTGAAGGTAGATTAAGCAGTTAGCTAGACAAATTGCATATCTCACAATTCCCAAGAAAATGGCAGGATTGCAAGCAAAAAAATTTTCTTTAGGCAGACATTTATCCACATCACTTCAAGAAAAAATAATAGCAGTCCTAATACAAATGAATGAATTCATCCTGGTCACTGGTCAACAAATAAAAGAAAACTTGCTAGAGCTAGCATCAACCACACATTATTTATTAAATATGCCATGACTAATGGTATGTACCAAACTTAGTGCCTAGGTACCCTTTTGGATTTGATTTATTGTCATCAAGATGCAAATAGTAATCAATAACTGAGGCATGATAAGATACCCAAGCCTTTTGGGCATCGTACTATGTTTCATTAACAATTCTACATCATGGCTCAAGAAGTATTATTGGGTAAAACCATTATAATTTTATTATTCTAGCAATTGACAAACAAGAGCTCTCTATGAAGGCACCTTTCAGGTGTGTGAAAAATAGGCAATTCAGAGATCCTAGAAGCTTATTTCTAAAGGATGACTCTTGGGTAATATTTTTCTAAAAATACTTCAAATCATTTAGAAATTATTTCCAGTAGTTTTTGAATGCATTTGGTGAGTGCAATAAAATTTCCATTGTCCATTGCCCTCATTACCTCTATCGAGATCTGGAAAGGTTTAACAAAATCTTCAAACATAATAGGAGACAGTCCTTTCATTCTTTCTTCAACTTCCTACCAAAAAAAAAAAAAAAAAATGATTAGAAACGTGTCATCCACAAATGACCCAGAAGAAAAAGAATAACAAAAACAAAATAAATCTTAGAATAACCACATTAAAGAATCATAAGTAACTTGCAGGTGATTCTTGAATCACGTTACATTTATGTATATGTGGTATAGCAGCATGATTTCCACTTTACCAATTTCACAGCACCACATATACAAGATAAAGTTCCAGCTTCAAAGCCCCGATCTTTTAAGTAGGCATACTGGAATAACTCCCATTATTTTCCTTATCATCGCATTTATACCCATTTGATCCATGTAAAATTCTAATTATTTATCTCAAACAGTAGATCCAGTGAAACATTTCCAAAACCTCAAGAAATTTATTAAATCAAATAATAATTAATGGATCAAACCATAAATTAAAATGGATCTGAAATTTCTTTCTTTTTCCTTTGTCAATGGAGAAATTTGAAAAATTAACTAGAAAATTTCCAACAACAATAGGTGGTGCTAGAAGCAATTGAGGCAGCTGTTGAAGCGAAATTCCTCAATCTCAAATCATTAGGCTCTTCCAATTATCCAAAGTTGAAGGGTTTTCCTTCTTTGACTCTCTACCAAGCTAAAATTTTTTGAAATTTCACTTCCAAAACTTTATTCTTTCTGGAATTTAGCAGATTTTTTCTCTCCCCTTCTTCAATGGGAAAAATCTCATATTTATAGGTGAGGAGTCCTTGAAGTAGTGAGGTTTTCCAAGTGAAAAATCTCCAAAAGGATGAGGATTCCTTCAAGATAACCTTCTAGAAATGATGAGGTTTTTCCTCTTTTTTTTTTTTTAATCAAAAAAAATCAAAACAAATGCAATTTTAGTCAAATCCTAAACTAATCTAAACCTAATTTAAATCAAATGAAAAAATAAATCTAATTAAATTCCATAAAAAATCTCCTGGATCCCCACCATCCTTTCATGACCAAGTCTGGTCCAATTTCTCAAATTTTAGTAAGAAAAAAGGATCTTCCTGCTTGTGCTCGTGCTTGTTCATTCAGGCAGAGAATCATTGACCAAAACTCTCCACCTGACTTCTAAACCAACTACTTCCCTTATCTCCAGAAAAGGGTTCATAATTGTACTCAAAAGTACACATAAATGATACCAAGCATAGTTTGTGCTTCCTTCTTGGCACCCCAGCTAATATATTTTTTTCCTTAAGAAAAAACACACATAAATCTAACAATTATTTTTTTCCCAAGCACCTGTTTATTTCGCTCATCAATTATTCTATAGGATTGATTATTATCTAATTAGTTTCAAAACCTTTTTAACAACCAGATCCAGGCATTCTGATTTCTATGTGTGGCAGTAGTAAGAAAATAAAATGTAATTTCATCCATGGTATTAATGGTAAAATGAGATGGCATCATTTTAGCAGCAACTAATCAATGTATCAATGGTAATACTGTCACAGATTTAGATATTATATGAAGATGACTAAAAGACTACAGATAAGAGTCTTCTATTAGTCACACATTTCCTACAGAAGAAAAAGTTTAGGAAACAAATACAACAATAGATTAAGCAAACAAAAGAACAAAGTTGACAAATGGAATGCAGCAACTACAATCCAAGTGGATTAGAATTACATATAATGTTGGAACCATGTTGTGAAACACCAAAAAAAAAAAAAAGAAAAAAAAAAGGAAAACAACTTCCAGTCAAAATCTAATTGTTTAATCATCAAAGTTGATTAACTGTTCAAAAAGTTACATCATGTTACAAGTGGACACAAATCAAATATTTATTCACATACCAATCCTGTTATCCTCGACCTCTCTAGCAGTTCTTTGGCAATCATGTCCAATATCAGCCGATTATCCTTCAGACCCTTAATAGCAAGTTCTTCTGTCTCTTCAATGTACTGTCACCAGAAAGTAAGTACTGTACATTTCATTTAAAAACAACATATGCTATATAGAAGCAAAGGTACTGCCAAACAAGATTATTAAGTCATGCATATGCCCAAGTATCCTCGTGTATACAAAATTAGTTAAATGTTTTTACTTGCATGAATGCATATCCACGTATGGTAAGAGTTAATTATAATTTTCTCATAACAAATGAAGTTTTAGAAATAATATTCAAGTTTAGGAATATTTCCACAAACAGGATTATGGTTTTGCTGTGCTATTGATTTATCAATCAAACAACAATAATTTTAACGAAACATCAATTTTTATGTCAATATATGGTCAACATGTCCCTGCAAACATAGTACACATACAATTATTGTACACAAAATATAAGTACTCCTTATATAGAAACAATGCCATGACTACATTCCTATCGCAGATAATTTTAGAAGTTTGTTAACGTCCCCACAATATTGGGCAAAACGTAGCATTGCAGGTAAATTGAAATTACCCTGGTCAATTCTCGAGTAAATAGCTCAGCAACTTCAGGAGTCATATCAGCAGGAACTACATGAGGATCATCCCACTAAACATTGTCAAAACAGTAAAGAATATTAGTTGATCAATAATATCAAGAAGCTGAGAGTTAGAAAAAATTAAAGGAGAAAAGACAAGTGTACCTTGTATTTTATTAGCTTATTGTCTGGATTATCTGGTGGATCAACAAGTCCAAGTCTTTTTGTCAATGCAGTTAGCCTAGCCTTGCATTGCTAGGGCTTATCACCATTTCTCGAGCAATCTGAGAAGAGATATTTAATTGAGTAGCTAAAATATTTAATTCCCGAAAGTAAGAACTTCATGTCAAGCAAAACTCAAGGAAAGCAATACTTTTTGGATAACTGACAGTAATTAAGTTATGTGTATTTGAGAGTAAATTATAGACTCCTAATAGAATCATGAAATTTTTTGTTCTTTTCAATATGTCCACCTTCAAAGAATATGGACACACAGGTGAGAATGATATACTCGTTGATGATAAATGAACGGTATATTATCCTGACAGATAGTGAAGTTTATCAGAATTATGAGACTTTCTCTTAGGGCTTCTGAAGAACATTTGAACAAATACATAACAAACCACCCACCCTCACACTCCACATGGAAAAAAAATGAGCTAGCACATTATACATCCATTGATAACTAAAGTAGGAACTAAGATCACACTTCAGGATTCCAAAAATGCCAATATTGCAAATTCAATTCATTTTCCAATAAAAATGTCATATAGAAACTAGGGGTGTGCAAAACCAAACCAATTAACCAAACCAAACCAAACTAAACCAAATTTTAAAATTTGGTTTGGTTTAGTTTAGAAAAATAATCCAAAATTATGGTTTGGTTTGGTTTAAAACCAAACCAAACCATTTTAAACCAAAAACAAAAATTTTGAAAATTCTTTATAAAAAATATTAATATATACACACACCTACATATATTTATATAAATATATATTTATATATCTATATATACATATATATACTTATATGTGTATGTTCACACACACACATAGACGTACATACATGCATACATACATACATATATATACATATATATATATATAAAATTATATTTACTCATACAAATATAAATATATATATGTATATATATTTATATTGTATATAAATATATAGATACATATAGATATATATATATAAGAACATACATATATATACATGTATATATATACATATATACACTTATATGTGTATGTACTCACACAAACATACATACATACATATAAATTTTTTATACCCATGTACATATATTTATATTGTATATAAATATATAAATACACACATATGTATATATACATACATAAATACATAAATATATGTATTTACATATTTACGCATATACGGTTCAGTTCATTTATGATCCGGTTCGTTCGCGATTCATTCACAATTCGAATACGGTTTTGGTCTACGGTTCATTCACGATTCTGGTTCATGGTTCATTTCCGGTTCAAAAAACCTAAACCATAACCGGACCGCAAACCTTCACAGTTCAGAACCGGACCGGACTAGATATTGCTAGTCCGGTTCGGTCTAGTTTTTTCCCAGTCCGGACCGGAACCATGAATAGGGCTACGTGTACACGTATATATATATATTTTTATTTTACATGAATATATATATATATATACACAAGAATATATACATATATATGTTATGTATGTGTGTGTGTATATATATATATATATGTATATATGTATATACAAATATATATACATGTACACACACATACATATACATGCATATACATGTATATTGAATAATTAAAAATTAAATAAATAATTTATTTAAATATTTTTAATTAATAAAAATTAAATTCAAAACCAAACCAAACCGAACCGAACCGAACCGAACCAAAATTTTAGATTTGGTTTGGCTTGGTTTATAATTAAATTGGTTTGGTTTGGTTTGGTTTTAAAAATATTAAAACCAAAAAACCAAACCAAAATATCAAAATCCAAACCAAAATTATGGTTTGCACACCCCTAATAGAAACCAAAGATCCATCCATGATTTGCCATATCACTCCCTTGCCACATGCAGACAAGCTCTGACCTGCATCAGTGGCCATTCCCACCATCTCTATCTTATCCAAGACACAATTTCTCCAATTATAGCATATTTACATACTCATGCAAACTACATATAACAGAACCAGCATATTCTCTCCAAGTTATCCTTTCTTCCTTGCTTGCTTTCTCTATCTAATTCAACAGCGCCATTCTCATAATTCACCAAACTATCTCCAGCAATTTTTCCTTTGCAAATTTCAATATTAAAAACTTTAGTTACTGCTCAATTATGTTGTCACCAAACCTCAATACTTCTACTGATAGTCAAGCTTTCAGAGATACACAAATGGCCAGAGTGAGTTGCAAAGTTGGAACATCAAGTTCAGCTTACCATAAAAAGGAAATTTTATACGTAAGTAGTGTATCCAAATTTGAGAAACATATATATCCCAAGGTTGATTCACAACAAGTATGGAGCTTTTTGTGGCCAAATAAAAAGGCTATGAACCATCCTGTTAATGGTAACTTGAAGGAATTAAGTGCAGAAACAGTAGCAAAGAATAAGGAGAATCCAAGTCTACAAAACACTTCTAGAATCCTTAGGCATCAAACTTCGGGTGAGTATTGCATCACACACCCCCAAGAAAGCTTCAAAAGCTCAGAAAAGAATGGATGGTAACATATATTTACATACTATCAGTTTCATAATCTGAATAGGTATCCAACACAAGGAAACTAAACAAACTAGGAACTTCACTAATTCAAAATATTCTGTTCCTAAGTATTACCAAACAACATAACTTGATCCACAAGTAATCCATTAATTATTTTATCTATTTAGGAATTATAATATTACCAAAATACCCCTTGGCACAAATTTGATATAAATAAATACAGCAGCTCCCTAAGCTTGCAGATCCGTAAAAATAAAACTCATATTAACCTTAAACATGATTATATAAAACCCTAAATATGCTCCAAGTGAAATTCCAAAAGTGCCCTTGGTCTTTGTTGGAATAGTTAGTCTTATGTTAGAATATGTCATTTTGTAAAATAGTTAGTCTTTAATCTCACGTCGAATAATGTGGTCATTAGTATTTTGTTATGAAATATATATATATATGTACATTAATATAATTAATAAGATAGTTATTTTTCTCCTTCCTACATTAACATTGTATCAAAGCCATGTTCTTGTCACTGTGTCCCCTCTTCCAGTGATGAGTCAAACCCTAGCCTTGTTTCATCATTGTGTCCTCTCTTCTAGTGGTGACTCAAACCCTAGTCTTCTTTCATCACTGTGCCTGTCTTCCAACGGTGACTAAACCCTAGAAGCCATTATTGTTCATTGGCGGTGCATCTTTCAAAGGTAGTCTATCAAAGATCAACTTTCTCTCTCAGGACCTCACAAATCAACCCAGATCCTTGCTCTTAGTTCTTGTTGGAGGTTATCTGTCAAAACAGTGTTGTTGTCGGAGCTGCCATGCGCCACCAACCAGTCATCTTCTCCGACACACGTGACTCTCGCGTCGCCCCCTTTTTGGTCTCTTTCTCCTCCGCCGGTGTCGCCTCTCTATTTATGGCCAAATCCAGTACGTGATCTTGCAGATCTGGTTCGTTAGCCACGACCACCAATCGCAACTCATGATTGGTTCGTCAGCCCAAAACCACCAACTGCGACTCACGACGCCGATCGCGACCACCACTCGCGAGATCCTACAGAGCTGATTTGTGAGATCCTGCAGATCTGATTTCATGAGATCCTGCTCACTGATCGCGACTTGCAACCACCAGATCTGATTCGTGAGATCTTGCAGATCTGATTCTTCAGCCCAATCGCAACTACTCTCACAACGATGACATTAACTCACTGGTCTGCTACTTGCCACTTGAATCAAAAAGTTCAGAACAGCCTTCTTGAACCAGCAGATCTATACTACTGGTTGACATCATAAGTAATTCAGGCTTTAAAGTCTCATTTAAAGATACATCAGCACTAAGGTTTGGTACTTTTTCTCCCGTAATTACTCCCACTCCTGCAATTACTTCGGAAAAATTAGTAGGGAGTTCCAATTACATTGCATGGTTCAAGTCTGTTAAGTTATAGTTTCGTGGTCAAGGTTATAAGCATCACTTAACATCAAAACTTGAGATACTATCTGCTGCTGAAAAGTCAGTTTCAGAAAATTGATGCACTCCTGCGTAATTTATTGTTGCAATCAATTGATCCTGAACTCAATAGTAGTATCTATCAAGCATATGATACTTGCTATAAGATTTGGGATAAGGCCAAGTCACTTTATACAAATGACATTCAACGTTTTTTTACTGTGGTATCCAATATGGTTAATTTAAAATAAGATGATAATATATCTGACGTTATTGGAAAGTTTCAATCTATGAAACAGGAGTTGCATTCTCTCTTGACTATACAGGATACTGCTGATCAATTAACACGAATAGATAAACTGATCATGGTACTTGGTTTGACTACCCTTCGTCCTGAGCTTGTTTCTGTTCAAAATCAGATCCTTGCTGGTTCAATAATTCCTTCTTTAGATGATCTTTGTGCATAGTTACTTCGCATAACTTCTACCACTCCATTGTCTGCACATTCTTTGATTGAGCCTATAGGATTAGGCTCTCAAACTAATCCTAAGGGAGAACAAATAGGTGGTAAAGGTACTGGTAATACTCAGAATAACTGTCCTAAGTGCAGTTATCACTAGAAGTTGGGGCATACCATAGTTATTTATAGCGCATAGCGCACCATAGCGCAAAGGGGCCATAGCGGCATAGCGCATAGCGCATAGCGAATAGCGTGGCTATTCGGTAAAATAGTGCAAAGTATATAATTATAATATATAATAATAATATATGTGAAAAATAGCTATCTTCTCCTCACTATCAACAAAGGAGAGGAGACAAGACTCTAGACAAAGACTAGAGGGCTCAACTCAACTGAGAGAACTTTTTATATAGACAACAAACCAAAATGAAGGGATAAAAATTATAGAATCAATTATTTGTCTAACATTACCAAGGCAGAAAATGGTTAGTTGCCATGTGTGAACATTTTAAGTGGGGATAAAGCCAACTTTTTATTTCTTCAAGTAAAAAAAATATTAATGTTTTCAAAACAACAAGCCTGAAGAGTCAAATTTCAAGCCAACTCCCTTGAGACCAAGCTCGATTGCGATGGAGAACTAAGCAGAAGTCGAGGCTCTGGACAGAAGGGAGAGGGTGACTCCAAGAAGGGATTCTGAGACTAGGCTCGATCACGACTTTGAGACCAGGCTCGATCGCGACTTAGAGCAGAGGAAAAGTCGAGGCTTGATCGCGACTCTAAGAAAGGATTCTAGGGCTCTATAAGTTCTCCGACGCGATTGAGAGTCGAGCTTGATAGGATGAGAGTCGAACCAAGCCACACAGTAGGTAGAAGCTGACACGAACATGAGTCGAGCTCAAGGCAGAGAGGATAAAGTACTGATGTGAGGCTTGATCGATCTAGGGTGAAGCAAATAGGAGAATAAAAGTATTGTGACGCTCGATCCAGAAGTCTAACGAGGCTCGATTGATCTAGGGCATGCACAAGGTGTTTCATTCTAGGCTTAAAACATCTACCGTTTCATAGTAGCGTGTATAGCGCACCATAGCGCAGTAGAATACAGCGCATATAGCGCACGCTATTGCTCGCAACGTAGACATCGCAACGCTATGGCTCACTTATAGCGCACGGTGTCATAGCGATGCACTAAGCACTATAGCCAGTGCTATAGCGCGCTATTAATAACTGTGGGGCATACTAGGGATAAGTACTACAAGTTACATGGACGATCACCACGCACTGCCAATGTTGCTCAGACTAATCATTATGACACTAAGTCTACTTGAGAGGGACAGTCAACATCTACTGTTGTAACAACATTAGAATATAAGGACTATCTCCATTATAAAGCCGCTCAACAGTCTTCTACTTTCATTGCTCATACTGGTAACTCTGTTGCTTGGCTTACTCAATCTTCTGGACTTAGACCATGGGTTCTTGATTCTGGTGCTTCTGATCACATTTCTAGTAATCAACATCTTTTATTCCATCATACTTACTCTACTTCCCTTCCATATGTAACCCTGCTAATGGTTCCAGAATCATGGCTAAAGGCATCGGACAAACTCCATTTTTTCCTTTATTAAATTTAGATTTTGTTCTTTATGTTCCTAATTGTCCATTTAACCTCATTTCAGCTAGTAAATTAATCCATGCTTTGAATTGCTCAGTAACCTTTTTGAATGATTTTGTTATTGTACAGGACTGGCACACGGGACAAATGCTTGGTGCAGGGCATGAGTCTCAAGAACTTTATCACATTGATTTACCATCTTCTTCAATTGCCTGCATGTCTACAGAATCTGCCACTCTTATTCATAATCAATTGGGTCATCCAAGTCTTTCCAAACTACAGAAGATGGTTACAAGTCTTTCACATTTGTCATCTTTAGAGGGTGAGTTGTGTCAACTTGGTAAATAATCACATGTTTTTTCTCTAGTGAGTCAATAATCAAGTTACGTCCCCTTTTGAGTTAGTCCATTCAAATATTTGGGATCCAAGTCGTATTGCATCTGTCCTAGGTTTTCAGTATTTTGTTACATTTATCAATGATTATTCCCGACGTATTTGGTTGTATTTACTGAAAAACCGTTCTAAAGTGTTTTTTGTTTTCAAGGAATTCTATGGTGAAATAAATACTCAATTTAATGTTTCAATTCATGTTTTGCATAATGATAATTCTTGTGAATATTTTTCCACTTCTTTCATTGACTTCATGGCTTCTCAGAGCATTCTTCACCAATCTTCTTGTGCTCATACACCACAGCAAAATAGTGTTGCTGAACGCAAGAACCACCATCTCATTGAAACAGCTTGCACTCTTTTACTCCATTATAATGTTCCTTTTCGCTTTTGGGCAGATGCAATTCTTACTACTTGCCACCTAATTAACCACATGCCCTCTTCAGTTTTATAGCACCAAATTCCCTTCTCCATTCTATTTCCTAATCAATCTATGTATCTTCTTCCTCCTTGTGTCTTTGGTTGTATCTGTTTTGTTCATAACTTAGCACCTAGACAAGATAAACAATCTGCTCAGTCCATCAAATGTGTTTTCTTAGGGTATTCTCGAGTCTAAAAAGGGTATCCATGTTATTCTCTTACTACCTAGCACTTCTACATTTCTGCTAATGTCACCTTCATTGAGTTCTCCCCATACTTTACTACTTCGTCAGACTCAGATTCTATTTCTCACATTCTTCCTATTCCATATTTAGGTCCTCCTCTTCACACTACTCAACAAGTTGCTCCACTTGTGTCTGAACCAACACCTCCAATTTGTCCTCTACAAATCTATAGTCATCGACCCCGCCTTCCTTCTACTAGTATTGAAGAGGTTCCATCTGACTCACTACCACAGACCAGTCTATAGATGCTTCTCCACCACTGGCTCTCTGAAAAAGTATTTGCTTCACCATGAATCCCTATCTTATTTATACATTTCTTAATTATTATCGTCCGTCCCTTTCCTATTATTCCCTTATCTCCCACCTTATCATCTGCGTCTATTCCTTGGACTACTAGGGAGGCACTTTTCGATCCAAGATGGCAACAAACTCTGATTGATGAGATGACTACCTTACACTCTAATGATACTTGGGATTTAGTACCTCTTCCCCTTGGAAAATCTACTATTGGATGTCGTTGGGTATATACTATCAAAGTTGGCCCTAATGGACTGGTTGATCACCTTAAAAGCCCATTTGGCTGCTAAAGGCTATACACAAATTTATGGCTTAGATTATGGTGACACATTCTCTCCTATGGCCAAGATTGCTTCCGTACATTTATTTCTGTGTCTTGCTGTTACAAATCACTAACCTCTCTCAGATGGACATAAAAAATGCATTCCTTCATGGTGAGTTAATGATGAGGTTTATGTAGAGCAATTGCCTGGCTTTGTTGCTCAGGGGGAGTCTAGTTTGGTTTGTCAACTTCAATGCTCACTTTATGGCTTGAAACAATCTCCAAGGGCTTGGTTTAGTCATTTTAATATATTTATTCAAGAGTTTAATATGATTCAAAGTGAAGCTGATCATTTAGTTTTCTATCGTCATAGATCACACGGTAAATGTATCTTTCTTGTTGTTTATGTTGATGATATTGTCATCATTGGGAATGATCAGGATGGTATTTAGCAGCTCAAACAACACCTTTTTACTCACTTTTAGACCAAAGATTTGGGCCAACTGAAATACTTTCTCGAGATAGAGGTGGCTCAATCCAATTCAGGTGTTGTCATCTCCCAACATAAATATGCTTTGGATATACTTAAAGAAACTGGTATGTTGGACTGTAGGCCTATTGATACACCTATAGATCTGAATGTCAAACTCTTTCCAGGATAGAGGGAGCCTCTGACAAAACCTGGAAGATATCGGAGATTAGTAGGGAAACTTAATTACTTAACTATCACTTACCTAGATATTTCATTTGCTGGTAGTGTAATAAGTCAATTCCTATAATCTCTATGTGACAGTCATTGGGATGCTATGATTCGCATTCTTAGGTACATTAAAGGAACACCAAGTCAAGGATTATTGTACAAAGATAAGGGACACACTTAGGTGATTGGATATTCTAATGCAGATTGGGCTAGTTCCCCTTCAGATAGACGTTCTACTTCAGGATACTGTGTTTTGATTTGAGGTAATTTGAGATCCTAGAAAAGTAAGAAACAGAATGTTGTTGCTATGTCAAGTGGTGAAGTTGAATATTGTGTTATGGCCTTCGCAACTTGTGAACTAATTTGGTTGAAGCAATTAATTCAAGAATTCAAATTTGGAGAGATTGGACAAATGAAGTTAATCTGTGAGAACCAAGCTATCTTACATATTGCCTTTAACCCTATGTTTCATGAGATGACCAAACACATAGAAGTTGATTGCCATTTTATTAAAGAGAAGATTTTGTCTGGATGCATTTCCATTATCTTTGTCAACTCCGCTGATCAGCTAATAGAGATATCTGTACTAAATTTCTCAAAGGTGCTCGGATCACCTCTCTTCGTAACAAGCTTGGTGCATATGACTTATACACTCCAGCTTGAGGGAGAGTGTTGAAATAGTTAGTCTTATATTAGAATACGTCCTTTTGTAGAATAGTTAGTCTTTAATCCCACATCAAATAATGTGATCATTAGTATTTTGTTATGAAGTGTATATATACATGTAACACTAATATGATTAATAAGATAGTTATTTTTCTCCCTCCTACATTAACAGTCTTCATTTCATGTTTTGCTTAAAAGGTTATGCCTGTCTCTAGTCCAGCTTCTGCCAGAATGTAAATGAATCAGAACCATCCCTGGATGATGTCATTTCTCTCAACAGATAGACATGCATATGCATGTATTGCTGGCTTCTAGTAGTAGGGTGCAGAGTTTACATGTTAGGTGAAAACAAAGGATAAGAAGTTTGGTTAATGCATGTGCTAAGAGGAATATTCAAGAGAAACTGGTAGGTCAGTCTATAGATAGAACAGGGACCAAAAAAAGGTAGTGAATATGTTGCTGTAAGGTAGTGAATATGTTGCTGACTTGTTCTGGATTCAACATTATCAACATTTTAAATTGTTTGCATCATCTAAATATTGATGAAACTTCTTGCAGAAAAATATCTGGTATAATATTTAAGCAATGAGATTGCAAAGAACAACTTTATGCAGTTATGATGTTATGACCAGAGACATTTACAGTGGCAGAAGAGTGGGAGGGGTGATTTCAGTAAGTGGTTTGACTTGTTGATTTACAAACAACTATGATAAATATCTAGTGAAAATTAACTGATAAAAGCTGTTGGGGAAATTCTATTTATCTATTTTTTCCATTTGCAGTATTTTAAAGCAAATTGAAGTCTTAAGTTTAATGCAAAAATAAAATGCACTCACCTTTGTAATTTTTTTCAAATCATCACTTCCTCCATCAGTAACATCTTCACCAAAAACAACACGTTCAGCACAACGCCCACCATGAGCTACAACCATTTGCATTTTCATGTAGCCAAATGTTGCATAACCTTGGTCTATCATATCTTCTCTAGGATAAAAAACAGATAATGCAGTTTCCTGCTTCAATTTGAATATAACTGTCTTAGAAAACTACTAAACAAGATCCAATACCATTCATTGAAAATTTGAACAATCATGAAAACTTTACCTTACCACCAGGCAGGAGCTGAGAAAATGCATGCCAATCAAATCGAGGAAACAAGTGTGCCAGCAATATATGACCAGCTTCATGTACCGCCAGTAGTCTCTTCCTTTCAAAAGATACCTGTTACATACACAGATAATCTAAACAATCAAATTACAGTATATGAAAGATGGCACATGGACAGATAATGTTAATGGATATACTTACACTTTGTTCACTTTTCTGTTGCTCTTCCTCTGTCAAGAGTACACCCATACCCTCAAGTAATTGTTTGTCTAACACATCAATGATATCTTGCTGATAGATCTTAGAATGTCCTTTCCTCACCTGCATATTCAACAAAATTTAAAATGGCTGTTTCAATAAATTGCCAGTAACATTGCCTTTTACAGGGTTCATAAGAATTATCAAATTATCCACCAAATCCAGAAGATTTTGGGGGGGGGGGAACAGACAGACAGACAGAGGTAAAGGAGAGAGTATGGTAGAGAGAGAAGGGGGGGAAATCATATTTTTGAGAGGGAAAGATTGAAAATTGGAATTTTGGGAGAAACAACGTGATCAATCCAGCAGCAGTGGAGAGCCCTGGTGTCTTATGGAGAGACAAATTGGTGCTTTTCTTGTCAATTTGATCATTCAGAGAAGAAACTATGAAAATCAAAAAGAAAATTAAAAAATCCATTATCTGAAGCCAACTTTGAAAGAAGTGGAAGAAGCAACCTTATGGGGCATTATGCCTTAACTTATTTTGCTTGTGTAATTACCTTTGACAAGTCTGAGACATGATCAACAATGAGAAAATAGGTAAAAAGTATTGCAGAATGACCACATTTTTCCAAAAAGTACTCGGGACAAGAAATAGAACCAAAGTTTAGGATCCTTAATCATAATCACAGAGGAACCTAACCAATAAATCATTTCAACATGTAATCAGCAGCATAATTTCACTGAGTGAATCCATGTGCTTGTATGTCATTGAATAAAAGAAAATATATATAATCCATTCTCCAAAGTTATCAAGCATGAGGATATTGTAGTGTAACAGTTATAGCTTAAGGTACGACTTGACAGGAAATACAAATCATCTTTTCTAGGAAAAGAATATAATAACTTACAGACATTATTCCTGCTTCATTCACAAGATTTCTAATATCTGCTCCTGAATAACCAACAGTTCGGAAAACAAGCTGCAACATCAAGGTCAAAAGGAAAACAAAAACATATCAAAACAAACAAAAGTAAATGAAAAGTAAGTGAAAATTTGGTATAATTTGAACACTATAAAAGTTAATGGTACTATTTATTAAACTATGGAATACCATTTCATTGAAAAGCTTAAGCCAATAAAGATGGGGGAAACTTCACTTATTATTTAAATGCCCCCTTAAGTATAGCTAGACTTTTTAAATAGTAGACAGTGAGATTTGAATACAAGAGGCTTTGCTTGCTATGGCACCATATTAAACTGTATCTCATCTAAACACTTAAGCTCGTAAAGTGAGTGGTAACTTAGTTATCCATCACTTAGCACACCTCCTCACATGTGACCAGATGTCTTTACTTATGAGTAGCCAAAATGTGGAAATTTTGGACTAGTAGGCACTGAGATGCTAAGACTCAGATACAGGACTTCTTGCCTGCTATGATACTATGTTAAACTATGAACCATCGTCTCATTTAAAAGTGTTAATGCTGCTACATAATAACACATAGGAGCACAAACAGCTGAGGGAACCTGGAAAGAGTAACCTGAACACACTGAGTCGGTAAAGACATATTATATCAAAGCTTACATTGTGGCAAGATGAAAGAAGGGAAGGAGCCAGTTTCCTTGCTGGCCAAATAAGAATAATTATACAGTACGCTTTAGACTACTGATGTCAATGTATATGGATATCTCCTACCAAAAAACCAATAACCAAACTAAATGAGGTTGTTTTTGACCAAAACTAAATGGTTATGGCTGTAGTTATGGATAACTAAATAAAAAATTTAACATATAAGCTTTCAGGTTTGGTTATATGTGTGTGTGTGTGTGTGTGTGTGTTTGTGTGACACACACATACACACTTGCATGTTAGTTTACGCCCATTATATTCTTATATATGGCTTCACTTACCACAGATTTCTGTACCAGTTTCTCTGATAATTTTTTGTTTCAACAATGTGGCCTCCTAGGAAATGTGTTTGACTTTGGATCTATTTTAATGATAGGCTGAGATTGAACAAGAGGCCCGTAGGACTGACCTAAGGGGCAAGGATGGCTACAAGGCAGAAGCTGCAGGTTCAAGGGCCATCAGAACCAACCAACAAATCCAAGAAATACATCAATACAAGTGCTAAGTCAAAAGTAAACAATATGGAATACATTCAAATTAGAAATTAAGTTTACCAAAATTAGAGGCAGAAAGAGGAATAGTTTAATCTGCAATCCTCTTCATCTGACTCTAAGGATAATTTCTTCCACTATCTTCTTCCAACAACATCCTAATTATAAATATTGAAGTCCCAAGAAATTCTAATTTTTTTATCACCTTAATGCCCAAATTACCAAAAACGCCTTTGTGGTGGATGTTTATTGTCAATGGATTGTTATTGAACTTGATCCGGATGGTCTAATTAGAATCTTTTGTTTCATTAAATGGCACTTTTTTTTTCTAGTAATTAGTTGAATAACTGTTTGACAACAAAGACGAAAGATATTTCAAATTTTTAATTTTCTTTCATAGAACATTTGTTGCATGATTGCTATTATATACACTAATAATTTCATATTAAGTTATCTTACATGACTCAAGTATAAGTACCCAAAACAGACAGAGCACATGTATCGGACTCGTCAAAGTCAGATATTTAGGATACAAGTACAAAGAATTAATGTGGTCAGAAATAGGATGCTAAAACATGGGTATATTTCAAAAACATTTGGGCAGTTTGAAACTAATGTTGCAAATATATGATGTTTTGTATTTTTTTTTAACAATAGTTTTTGCAAATAAAAAGAAATATATATTAACAGAGATCCAATTATAAGATAGGTCATTTATATTTCTATATTGGCTGCCCTTTTTCCCTTTATTTTTCCTTGTTTTGGTTGTTAGGTTATGCTTTTAAGTTGAGCTATTACATTTTCATATTTAGAAACTTAATTGGTTGCTTTGCTTGTTTTACGTTTACGGTTTTACTCATAAATTTAATAATAGGCCTCTTTTATTAAAAACCAACAAGTAAGAACCTTGATGACTAGTAAGCAATGCCACATTAGAACACACACACAGCACACAGTGCCAACAGGCAGACCACCATTTTTCATAGACATAGGATGGTCATCCACTAATGTTATCTGTAGACATGAGATGGTTGTTGCAAATGATGTCCTCTCACTCCAAATCTCCCAATAATCAGCACCTTCCACTCTTCTTTATTCTCCCTCTTTCTCCACTGGTGGTCTATCAGGTCAGACTGCCACAATGTCAAGTCCATTGTGTTTCCATTCTCATCCTCATGCCTTGTCATGTTAAAACAGACACTTAACTCAAAGAGCCGAGTTGAGGTAACACAGAATGAAACTAATGCATTTAAGTCCTAATAACATAAATGTTTTAATAAAATAGTCTTCACTCTTTATTTATCCATTTTTGCAAATATAATTTTGGTTGTCTGCTTTCACTAGGGATGTGGTTGTAATTTTCCTTTTTACTATCCTAGCAGTTTCTGCTTTAATTTTGCTTTTCAATTTGAATAATGGTGTTTTTCAGTTTCAGTTTTCCCAATAACTACATGGTATCCAAACTGTTGACATCCCTTCTTTAGACCCACAGATGGCCTACAGCCTAATATAACGAGCAAAACTTTTTACCAAAGTAGGAACATTTTCTATACATGAATATGTAAACCACACCCTCAAATTAATATTAGAATCAGTTAAAAACTGCTTTCATGAGAACCAGTGGCAATTCTGCTTTTATTTAAGGTTATTAATGCGCACGACCCTCTCAATTTTCATTTCACTTTTCCCTGCAATGAACAATATTACTTTAAGCTTTTAGCTCATAAGCATCCATCAGGTAGGTTTATGAAATTAGATTTGAGTGATACCATTAAGATCAGAGGAACATTTCATAGAAGGACACACTTCACCCCTCTTCTTGGCTAGCTCTTTTGGTTTCCAAAGGAGAGCGGTAGCTAATACAGAGTAAAGGAACAGCAGAATTACAAGCAGGATCAATCAGAATAAAGAAGCACCATACATCCTTCAAAGTGATTAGGTCTCACAGATTTCACAACTCCTTTGGTTTCCTTCAAAGCCACCCAGCCAGTAAAATATACAATTAAGAAAAAACAAAAATAGAAAAAGAAATGTCCTCACTGAAAAGAATGAATGCATTCAACTCAAAGAACCAACAAAAAAAGTAATGTACATCTACATTACATATCCCAATCATTGGCTGTATACTTTTTGCTAACATTAATTTGTTAATTTCTTTTCAACTTAAAGAAGATAAAGTAAGCCACTTTAATGATAATACACCTTATCATTAGATTTGCATGATATAGACACTAGATAATGAATCTAACTGATAATGTAAGGTAGCCACTCACCTGTTCAAAATCAACATCTTCAGCAAGCGGCTTCCCTGAACTGTGTACACCAAAAATTTGCACCCTCTGCTTTGCATCAGGTAGACCAATGTATAAACGACGATCAATACAGCCAGGGCGAACAAACTCAAGATCAAGTTCATCTGGCCTATTGGTAGCACATATGAATATCACAGCTTGTCTTAGGGAAAATCGATCAACACAGTTTTTTCTTTCCTACAAATGACAAAGAATTGAATATCATTTAGATATGAGAAACTTTGTTCAGATTAAGAAAATGGAACCAAGCTCAAACATATATACTATTATATAAAAGTTGAGACATATTTTTAGAACTATGCCTAGTGACATATGACTATTCACTTCATAGACATCAATTAGACTCTATTCTTCTATCCTATAATCAATTCGTTCAAAGCATTTAGTTGACTAATAAAGCCAGTACATGAACTTCTCTTTGTTTAGTTTGAAATAAAAAAATAAATTTAAAAAAAACAAAGAAAAAAAATAAACAAATACATGGGGTGATTATAATAAGGAAAATATTCTAATACCACGAAATAAGTTATAAGACAAATTAACCATACTCATATTTTTTATCCATTGTTTTATAAATCAGGTAGAACGTCACCCTTGGACTAAATTCAATATATAAAAACTTCATAATTTAGAAATGTAAAATCAAAAAATATTTATAAGTATATTTGTCTAAAAACATATAAATTTATTACTTGCAATAAAAATGTTACAGTTACAGATATAATTTTCCAAATAAAAATTGAAAAAAAAAAAAAAGAATCCGGTCATAGCATGAGCTTGAACTCCCTTTGGTTTTCCTAACTCAGAGCTCTACCCTCTCTCTTCTGATCTCCCATTCTCGCTCTAATTCTTCATATTTCGTTTATGCAGAGAATTTCGCCCTCTATATGGCCTTCGTGAGCAGAAAACAGGTTGAAGGATGCAGCTGATACATCCACATTGCTGGCAGAATGTAAGGAAAGTCATAATCAGCTTCAAGCCCAGTTATAGTGGCATTGGCCTTCTTTCTATCCAAAGAAAGACAACACAGTAGGGTGTCCATTGTGTTTCATGTGTGTTTATATTTTTTTGATTTTGACAAGCATATAAATGCAGATCCATATATATGAAATCCTCTACACCAGTACTACCAACGCACTAGGGCCACAACTCTACTCTGGCCTATGATTGTACCACCCCCTGCTAGAGTAAGGCACAGTCAGCCAACTGAATCGACTTGTAAATATTACTCTTTTAACACAATCTTCTTCATTCAATGTATGTATTTAATCTATTCTTACATTCAGGCCATATTCATCATATATACGAGATAGCTATATATTTGGATAAAACTCTTAGACTATACACGGCTATGGGACTTGTCGCGCATGCGAATAGTGATCATGAAATAGTCCCTATAGCCTTGGTCTTAAATTCTTCTGAGTTGTTGAATATGTCAAAAAAGGGTATTGACTAGTTTCATATTAGACTCGTGAAACTCGCACGAGTGCAACATGCTCCTTATGAGGATGCCCCTGTTTTATGGACAATCGGTGTAAGTGACACTAGTACACAT